TTCAAATTTTTTTCTTATTTTACAAGATAATGACTCTGTTGATATTAAAAATAAAAATAACATATCTTATATTTCCTAATTTATTTATTTTTTTTAATTATATACCTAAATTTTAATTCTAAATTTCAAATTCCCCTACAATTCTACTTTTATAAGTGAGTTGCAACTTTATTCTTAAAACCCTACTTCTTGAGTAGCATGCACTTGCCAAGGTTGTCGTCTTCATTTTGCTTGGTTGTTATCTAGGTTGTCGTCTTCATTTTGCTGGGTTTATTCTTAAACACATAATATGGGTGTCGACACCATGGGTTAATAGTCCAAAATCAAACTTTCTGTTTCTTGTTTTGTGTCGATACGTAATTCAGAGTGTCAGCATTATACGTTCAACGTCGAACATTCAAGTTTCTTATTCTATTTCAAATCATACTTCTATTTCAATTAGGGTTTCTAAAACCTTATAAATAACCATCCAAATTCAGAATTAAAAGAGCTTGGGAGGCTGGTGGCAGTCCTCTTTTGGGTATTCTCGGAGATCAAGATAAAAATTTAAGAATTTGTTTATAATTTATAAATCTTTTCAATTTTTACAATTGTAAAAGAGTATAAGAATTTGTTTATAATTTGTATTTTTTTAATTATGTTTCTATTTATTTGGATATTAACGTATTTTATATTTATGTTTTTTTACTTAATGTTAAATTTATTTATATTATCTCATATATTTAATAGTGTTAAAAACAAATCAATCCGACCGAACCACACCGATCCGATTTAAATTGGATTGGTTTGGTTATCATATAATAGTGGATTGGATTGGTTTAAAAATTTTATTAACCAATTAAATTGGATTGGATTAAAAAATATTAAAATCCGAACCAAACCACCCCGCGAACACCCCTAGCCCATACTACTGAGTACCAATAAATGGAGAATAAATACTAACAAAAATGCCATAAATTGTACTTTAAAACATATAGATAAATTCATACATATAAACTAACCTTCCCGTCATCTGTAACAGAGCCCCGAAACATGAACTTTGGATTTTCAGAATCTCTCCAGCATAAAATATCTTCTGATTGATCCGTACCCAAGAAATGATAGTAAAGCTCATGATAAAGGTTTGTATTGGTTTCTGTCCCAGCATCTATGTTCTCTCCCTCTCTACACAATGAAAATACAATTGACTGCTTTTAAATATAAAAATCTAATACAACTCGATGTTAGTTCAAATTCATAATGTTAATAATTCTTGTCGTCATTGTTCTAGTCCTAAAAGCTTATTGCTCATTTACAGTTAGTATTTGAAAACTCAGGCATTTTCCTTGATTAACTTTCTAAAATTTTCATTACAACAGAACAATAAAGCAACACCTTACTTTCTTCCAGAACTTCTTAGACATAGAAGCTGCAAAATATGATCAAAACATCTTGTTACTTACTTGGGAGCTGGATAGCGACAATAGAAAAAGCCTTTGTTATCATGAGTCCAGTTAATAGAGGAAAACTTGACCTGCAACAACAAAAGATGCATATTATAGTAACTCTCATTCTCATCAAAGGACTCTCCATCCAGTTTATGCACCAGAAGAAAGTAACTCACCCATGATAAAGTATCAGGCTCAACTGTCTTATCCTCAACATGCATTACTTTGATGGTTACCCAATCACTGCCACTTGAACTAAGCCCATATGCCAAGTACCTGGCATCCTCGCTAACAGACATTGTGTTCAAGGACACAGTTCCGTCTTCACTAAGTGCATTGGGATCGAGCA